ATCTGGCTGGTGGGGAGCGGGGCTGGCTGGGGAGGTGGGGTGAAGCATGGGGAGAGAATTGGCCAGTGGGGAGCGGGAATGACCAAGGTGCAGGCAGATCCCTGGGGTACTGCCCATCCCACGCATGGTCCCAGCGAAGCACGAGCAAGTCCGGCCCCGGGGATTCCCTCCCGTCCCCATCCCTGGGCCTGCCCCTGCCTCGCGTAGTTGCGTATTTTATATGTCTGGTATTTTCTCAATTTGTTTCCCAGACAGAACCCTCAAATACTGGACTGTCCGGGTCAAAACTGGACACCTGGCAACCCTACTAGCAGGATGTTTTTACTCTTTATAAAAGCTTCCAGCCTACTAAGCAGAGGACCAGTTTAGGCAGGAAAAGGTTAACAGTGCTAACTAGTGTGGAGAACGGTTACACTGTATTCCATACTGGCAAAGACCCCCAAACTTTTAGCCGCATCTCTATCAGTGGCAGTAATAGTCCCAATGAAAGGTTTTAGTCCATATGGTTTGGAGAGGAAATCATACGGTCTGCTAAAGCCAGTCACTATCATCACAATCAGTGCCAGAATCTTTGCTGGCTTTAGCAAGCTATCTGGGACTGTGGAAAAGCTGCATTACTGCGTAGGGAAGTCTCATGTTCTCTACAAAATAAAAGTGAACTGGAAAGAGCCTGAACATTGAAAAACTCTCTCTGAAGGTCTGCAACTGCTTCTGATTCTACAGGACAGTGTGGACATTTCAATGGGATTGTAGGTGGACTTCAAGGTCTTGACTGAAAGTATATTGCGCATTAAATGTAGGATCCTGGATTTTTGATTAGACTGACCATAAGCTATAGCAGTATGTCTCACTTTGGGTTCTGGCCAGTCAAACATAGTCCCTACAATGATCAGAACTGCTCTCCAGAATCTGAGACCTCCTCTTTAGAGAACTGAGTGGACTGCTTTTTACACCAGTTTCCAATAGTGTTGTTTTTTTGCTGAGGATATTTGTAGACATTTTTATTGTAAAACACATGTACCTTTCTGAGCATCTTTCTTCAACTAGTATACTCCAACCCAGAGCACCTGCGGGGGTTATACTCTTGTCTGCCAGCAGAACTTTTTCATTCTCACCACAACTGAACTCAGAGGGTCTGCTTAACGTTGAACTGCACTATGCAAGTATGAGATTGCAAGGCAGCTTTTGGTTGGGCTTTCTTCCTAGTGTTTTATACCACATTCACCATTATTGTGTCAGAGCATCTCTGGGACTCACAGGAGAAATAAATTGTGTATAAAGCTCTTTTAGTGAACAAAATCTAAAATGAATTCTATTTATCCCTTGCAATTTTAAAAACCAACATTTTGACCAGTGGTGGGCACCCTCTGGCCCATTGAGGTTCTATGTGTGGCCTACCAGACATTTAGTTTACCATTGCCAGATTCCATTGGTTCCTGTCTGCATGGTTATTTTCATACTGGCATTACTAAAGCGACACATGTAAAGCAAGGGCATGTGAAGTGAGGTGCATGCTGATTGCACACAGCATTGACTGTGAGAGCCATGTGCTCCCTCTGCATCCAGTCAAAGCGCTGCTATGGTTCAGTTGGCACACCCTGTAAACTGTAGGTACACAAGTGCAGTTAGCAAAATATCCTATCACAGAAGACCAGCTTGGCTATGACAATCTTGCAGCCCACTCAAATGAAGGAGGGATACTCGTGCAGCCCACTCACTAGTTAAGGTTGCCCACTGCTGATTTTGACCTTTTCCAGAAATAGTTTATGGTTTTAAGTGGTTTATCCAGCCCTTGGTTTACCTTTTACAAAAGTGATGCCAGCACAAAGTGTTTTATTTCATAAATAGCAATTATAATAATAGCATATTAATGGAATGCAAATTTCTGATCTAGGAATCTAACATGCCTATAACGGTTCCTGGACCTATAATGTCAACATTCAAAGCAACATCTAACTAACACTGATGTGGCAAATTAATGTTAATAACAGTTTTGACACTAATAGCAAGTGATTATTATTTAAAAAATAAAAATGCTTCCAAAGCCTGACGATGGTTTTTGAAAATACCTCAGTTCACTGTAACATGAAAGCTTTTCTGAGAATAGTGCCAGCTCTGATTTCATTCTCCATGGACACTTTTGTGGGAATTTCCTCTGCAAATATCTCTGCATGAAATTGAATCCAGTTTCCTGCTCTACATCTGCCATCCTAAATCAGAGGGCAAATGAATGTTCTTTAGCAGTAGTTCTAGCCAAGTGCTTTTCACTGTGGACTGTGGGGGTGGGCGTGTAGGGCTGAACCCCCACTGCAGGCTCCCTGATGCTGGGGGGAAGGGAGCCCTGTGCCTCAGGTACTTGATCTAGGCAAACTGGGGGCAGGGTCTGGCTTCCGGTCCATGGGTCCCCCCCTGCCATAAATGAATAAAGCCTTGCATAAATTGTCAGCTACTTGACCCACTTTGAATTGAATGGAGGCTGCATAACTAAATCTTTATGTATCTTTGAATCAGCTCACGTTCTCTTGGGGGCATTTTAGTGGGCTGCTTGCTGATTATGTATACTGCTGCCCTCGGTTCCTTTGCAGTTGGTTCAGGCCCACCGATGGGGTGGGGGATGGGAAGGGAAGGCAAAGAGGCCGCTCTCTTGTGGTCTGGTGATTCAGAAGGGCCTGGAGTTCCCATTTGCTGCTGCTACCACCGATGTAGCAGTGGCAGCTGGAGCACCAAGTCCTTTAAATTGCCACACAGAATGTTCCAGGTAGCTCTGAGGGTTGCCTGAGGGGGAAGCAATGTGCACTCAGGCCTGTGCTGAGGGCTTGGCTGCCTCAGCCCCACCCCTTCTGCCCAAGACTCCGCCCCTTCTGGGAGCATGGAGCTGGGCCCCCTACCTTGCTCAGGGGCCCAGAGCGTCTGTCAGTCACCCTGAGTTGGTCAGTGGAAAGCCTGTATTGGATGGGGCTTACAAAACATCTACACACCTGCATAATTTGAAGCATGTGGTTACACTCATGCTAAAAATTACGTGTAAGTGCTTTGCTGGATCACGGTCTACATGACCCAGAGTATGGAACACTTGGACCAAAATATAACGTCAGATTTGATTAGAAATTATTTAACAGTATCTTAGTAATGCTTGTGTAGCTACTGATTGCCTTTACATTACTACTGGGTTTTGCAACTAATTGCAATGTAACAGAAGACTTGGGACATATGATCTCTAGATGTGGCATGAGATGCAGACTCTCTAGTGATCAGCTCATGGGGCATAGCTGTCAGAATTCCAGCTGAGTTCTACTGCTGACTGTGTCACTAAGTCACTGGGCGATTTTGTGTGTGTGACTTACTCAACCTGTCTGTGTGTCAGTCTCTTCAACTGCAAAATGTAGAACAGTAAATAATACTATAATCACCTTTGGGAACCGCCATGAGCTCCCTGGATGAAAGTGGCTGGGGCAATTGTTCACAAAAAGAAGTGACTCACAAAAGTGCACCATAGAGCCTTGCATAAAGCATGTATATCTCTACAGATATCCCAATGAGTTGTGTTAAGAGAAGAATGAATCAAATGCAGGCAGAATTCCTGGACTGAAGTACCTACCCAAGCTCCGTCGGGTCCAAACAGCTCTAAGAAGTTGCCAATGAACTCTCGGGACTTCTCTTCCCATTTCTGAATGAGATCATGGCTCTTCTCTTCTACCTTATTAACAAATTCTTTTGATTTTTCCTCAACATTTTTCACTTTTTCTTTCATCTTGTCTACCTGGTTCTGAAAGCGGTACTTCTTCTCCTATTGGAAAAGTATGTGTGGACAGACAAACATAAATTATCAAGTGGGTTTGGGGAAAGAAGAAAGTTTGTCATTACTGCTTAAATACACAGAGCTTTTTCTGACTACTAACATGTATAATATTTTCATATGCCAATGTATGGATGGTCTGAAAGCATTTATCATCTAGTACCTGTCATGTACTATGTTCCCCAGCAGAAAAACAGAGCTCTAGATAGATTAAAATAGGATATTCTTGAAAAATAAGTGAATTTAATATTTGTGCAAGTGAAGAACTAATACCTCAGGCATGTAGCAGGAAACATGCAAACTTCCTCACAGTCTCTTACCAATGCATCCCAATATTGGCCTGCAGCCCTGATGCTATTACTGTCTAAGGTATGTCCTATGAAGAGATCTCTTCAAAACAGAAGAGAATCTTCATGGTTGGGGTTTTGGATTAGCAGCAGTCTCCTGGTTGTATCGAAGAGGTGTGTCTAGTCTCAACGGCCAGCTGCCCAAACAGCGGAGGAGTGGAGGGAAAGAAAGGAAATGCCCATGGATGAGGGCGGCTCAGCAGAAGAGCAAAAGGGTGGGTTCTCAGAGCTGCCACGCTTCTCAGAGTCAAAGCTTTTAAACGCCTCAGAAGCACAGCTGGGTGTACAATGCATAAAGGCTCTGCAGGACTGAAGCTCTGTTTCTGATGATTGGACGAGCTCTGTCAGAGCAGCACTTCAGTCAGTTCACAGCCAGTGGGACAAGTGGCTGAGGTATGGCCTGGTATGCCGCACTGGCCAATTATTTTTAGCTGGTAGGACATTCCGGAAAGACTCCCTGTTGGCCATCCCCAGATCCTCCCCATTGGCTCTATGTACAGGGCCAGTGTTCTGCTCCTCTCCTTGATGCCACCAACCAGCGAGGCACTGCCAGCCCTGCCCCCCAGCCCTATACACAGACTCATCAGTTCTGCTCCTTTCCCCACTGGCAGGGGCAGAGCAAGGAAAATAGCAGAACTGCCGGCAGCTCTTCTTGCTGCCATACTTCCCCCAGCCCCTCTCTCCACAGGTCATGTGGGATGTGGGAAAGGAAGGGAGGAGGAGAGCAGGGGGTCCCCCCTTCCCCACCATAAGAACTTTTGTTTGTTTGCACCACTCTTCATAAACTACTTTGGTGGTCTGGGAACTTCAATTTACTGGAATTTGAGTAAATCTGGATTACACGGTAATTAACTAATTCATTTTCTTCTAACACAAATGTTCTTTGGCTCCATTATGGTAGTTTAACCTATAAAAGCTTGTCTTTTGTCAGAGAAGTGGGAGTATAAATTTGGCCTTTTGTGACCTGAGAATCTATTGCCTCTGTATATCCAGAGTCGTATTTTTCTTGGTGGTCTTGTTAGCATTGTAGTTAGGTGCATGTGACTGAATCTATTTTAGCTCATGTGTTATCAGTAGAATTGTTAAAATGTAGTTGTAGAATCTTTACTACTAGTAAGGAAGAACATGTCAGAAAATATTCAGGTTGGCTTCCAGTTCAAATTTTCAGGGTTGGCATTCAGAAAATCATATTAAACTTGATTAACTGATCAGATATAATATGGAGTCAGCGGGGCTTTGATTTTTCAAATGTGGCCATGCAAATACATATTCCAAAATATATGAGCATTCATGCCCCTGATTTACATACACAATTCCCACATTGCAGATGCAAATTACACACACATGCGCACACACTCTTGTGTAACCGAACTTTTAAAAATTAGCACCCTGGAATAATGCTAAAGGAGATCTACAGTTCCACTTTAGAATTACTTCCAGAGTTTGCCCATACTTTTACTTGGTCATTTTTATGCTAAATATTTAATGGAATTAGCAATTGCATCTTATCTTACATGTAGAGCGATAGTACCTCAAAAGCATAACCAACAAAGGAACAGTTGCTTTGTAGCTTAGTAGGACTAGCCAAAGCGGCTAAGTCAGGATAACCCCTACAGTATCATAGGCAACCAAGCCTTAATTTAGAAATGCCCCCATTTTAATTTTCTTCTGATGCCCATTTATTTATTTTGAAACACAAGAAGCCTTTGAAGAAGAGTAGAGCTTCTCCCTTTAAACTACTGTAACCCTATGTCAGCAGGGACTTCAGAATGCTGCATCTACACTACAGACCTGGCAGTACCCCTGTGGTACCACTGCAGTTGTTCTTCTGAAAGGTCTCCTGTGTAGCTGCTCTTGCTGGCAGGAGTGAGCTCTTCCTCAGGCATAATTAAATCACTCACAAATGAGTAGCACTAGCTATGTTCGCAGGAGAGCCATTTAGTCTCTACAAGGCAAGTGGAGAAATGCTGCGTGTGCTATGCAACTGTAATACCCTTTGACCAATTAAGGAATGGATTTGATGAATTCCAAAGCAAATTCACACTCAGCATTCCTATGTCTAAACAATAGCTGCAGTATTGATCCTCTTGGGTGCACAGTTACAGCAGGAAATATGCGGAAGCCCTAGGTCTTCAACAAGGATGCACAAGATGCCCCCACTTCCACCTCGAATGTGAACTGAGAAACTAGTAATATAGTAGATCTGGGATGCAATGAAGGTTTGTAAGGAAAACCTAAGGATCCCAAGGATTCTCCTAAATTGGAATGACCTCTAAATCCTGAGTCACTGCCTGAATTAAATTAGCGAGCCCCTTCATTTTGTGCCTTATACAGATCAATCAGGTGGGAAACATAAGAGCCAGTACTCCAAAATGAAATATGAAACAAAGACAAGAAAAATGCTTACATCTGTGTTTCCAGCTCTGCATATTACAAAAAATAATCTATATACTGTCTCTGTGATTTATTCTCTCTCAAGTATGGCAGAACTGTATCACTCAGCCTGTCATTATTTGGCTTGAGAAAGAGGCAGATTTATAATCGGTACTTAAGCGTCTAAAGAGACAGACAGGCATCTAATGGGACATTTAGGGTATGTCTACACAGCAAAGTTATTTCAGGATACCAGAGCTATCCTGAAATAGCTACCCTGCGTCTTTTGAATGCACCCGCTGTTTCAAAATACAGCAGATGTGCATTTCACCATCCCTGTAAACCTCATTGTATGAGGCGTAAGGGATGGCTTGAAATAATGCTGTATTTCAAAATTTGGCGCTGCATAGTGCAAATTGCGTATCTTATTTCAAGTTTTGAGTGCTGTGTAGATGCACCTCTAGTGAAAGAGGTGCCGGGTCTCAAGGCATTTTTTAAGTTTTATAATTGACACAGCAAGCCCAGAGGTAGGGCTATGAACTGCGAAGTCTAGAAATATCAGGGCTCTGCCCTGGCACAAGCTTACCACTAAGGCTATGTCTATACTACCAAGTTATTTCAGAATAAGTTATTTCAAAATAATAACTCCTGAAATAACTATTTCAAAATAAGCTTATTCCTCTTCACAAGCAGGAGTTGTTATTTCGAAATAATAGGCTGGGTAGTGTGGACGCTTGCCTTGTTATTTCAAAATAAAGAGAGTTATTTTCAAATAACTCCCCAGTGTAGACATGCTCCTTTGTCCATGGCCTTGACAAAGTTCTTCATCAGACCCAGCTTGATGTGTAAGGAAACAAAATCTTCCTTGATTCAACAAGTGGTGGACGCTGAACACTTTTCCTCCCAGGCTCCAATGACTGTCGGAGTGGTCAATCTATCTTGATGTAGTGGGAATCTCTTGCACGACTATCCCATTAGCAGAGAAAACAGCAGTACTTTGTGTATCCAGTCTGCAGACCAAGCAAGAGAGCAACAACCTTCAAATCGCCACAAAGCTGCCACTGATGTTGGTCATAGTTTATGCACCTCAAAAGTTGTTTCATGTTGTCATAGGTTTCCTTCATATGGACTGCATGACCAACTGGAATTGATGGCAAAACATTGCCATTATGCAGCAAAACAGCTTTAAGACTCGTCTTCAATGAATCAATGAACAGTCTCCACTCATCTGGATCGTGAACGATGTTGAGGGCTGCCATCACACCATTGATGTTGTTGCAGGCTACAAGATCATCTTCCATGAAGAAGAATAGGACAAGATCTTTTTGACGGTCATGGAACTTGGAAACCCTAACATCACCTGCCGGGAGATTCCACTGCTGTAGTCTGGAGCCCAACAGCTCTGCCTTACTCTTGGGTAGTTCCAAATCCATGACAAGGTCATTCAGTTCTCCTTGTGTTATGAGGTGTGGTTCAGAGGAGGAGGATGGGAGAAAATATGGGTCCTGTGACATTGATGGTTCAGGACCAGAAGTTTCATCCTCTTCTTCTTCCTCGTCTGACTCAAGTGAGAATGATTCTGGTGCATCAGGAACCGGCAGTCCTTCTCCGTGGGGTACTGGGCGTATAGCTGATGGAATGTTTGGATAATGCACAGTCCACTTTTTCTTCTTTGACACACCTTTCCCAACTGGAGGTACCATGCAGAAATAACAATTGCTGGTATGATCTGTTGGCTCTCTCCAAATCATTGGCACTGCAAAAGGCATAGATTTCCTTTTCCTGTTCAATCACTGGCGAAGATTTGTTGCACAAGTGTTGCAGCATATGTGTGGGGCCCACTTCTTGTCCTGATCTCCAATTTTGCAGCCAAAATAATGGTGATAGGCTTTCTTAACCATAGTGGTTATACTGCGCTTTTGTGATGCAAAAGTCACTTCACCACAAACATAGCAGAAGTTATCTGCACTGTTCACACAAGTACGAGGCATCTCTGCTCACTTTGGCTAAACAGAAATGTGTCCCTTTGCAAAATCAAACACTGACAAATAAGAGAGCACGACAGTGTATGACCAACTGGAATTGATGGCAAAACATTGCCATTATGCAGCAAAACATTCATGACTTCTAGGAATAACATGATGCAATTCATATCATGTGTGATGCAATACCAGCTTCAGATTGCATCATTCATTGTTTTGCCTAAAAAGCAAGTACTGTCCAAACCCAGTCATAGATTTATTCATAGATCCAGTCAAAGATGTATTTTAGTCATTTCTGGTTTAAATTGAGATCCCTTCCCTTTATAACTCACTTATCCTCCGCCATTCGCAAGTCAAGGGTCGTATATACTGACCCAATAGCATATCTTGAAAACTAGAGCCAATCAACAATTTTAAGCATCATTTTCGTTCTCAGTGACCCAGAATTAGTAAAGTTTGACTACATTTATTTCAGAAGCATTTTGGCTGTAGAGCAGTGAAGAAAAAGCAGGAAATATCATTACAATCCCACAAAAATTGTCAGGGGGACTCAGAGATGGGTGTAAGACCCTTAGGGTATGTCTAAACCTCATTGTAGGAGGAATAACAGGTAGTTTGAAATAGGGCTTTATTTCAAACACCCGTTTCCCTGCCACGTGTAGACACGGGCAGTTAGTCCGGGCTTGTAAATTTAAAAAATGGCGCCCGGCCGGAAACATGCAAATCAAGCATGGGATATTTAAATCCCAGGCTTGATTTGCAATTCCGAATGCCTACATTTGCATCCCTAGTTCGAATTAGGCTGCAAGTGTAGATATACCCTGAAAGTACTTTTGACACTTTTTTTTTCATAATTAGCTAAATATCTGCTTGAGTTTCTCTCTTTACAGCAAATTGTGAAATGGAGAGCTAATAATAAATACAGCTTTCCTGTATATAGCGTATAACTGGGAAAAATATGTTTTGGGATTCATTGTTCTTTTGTTCCTCATTGCTAGCCATAATCATTCACAATGGCTTTCACAATTGCTTTCCCAGTCATTAGTGTGAATGAGTGAAGCCCTGAAATTTGGCACAGTGCAGAGGAGCATTCCAATAATGTCAGATTCACTGGGCTATGCTGCTAAGACTTGAAAGAGAAAAGGAAGGAAAGTAAATTTAGATTTCCTTCACATCTTTACCCTTTTCATGGACAGCACAGAGTGCTGTTGTTAGAAGCTGCTTAATTTGAAATATTGGCGGCCCCCGACTTGCAACGCGATCGGTTCCTGGGGAAGTGTTGCAAGTCGGGGGCATCATAACTTGAACCCGCATTTATGATAGGCGCTGTGCACCATCATAAATACGGGCCAAGGACATAAGTTAGGGGTTTTTGGCCCCTTCCGCACTTACAAAAATGGTCGCAAGTGTGGAAGGTTGCAACTGGGGCCATTGTAACGCGGGGGTTCCCTGTACTGCATCCCCCAGACCATTCCTCAGCAATTACTAAGCTTTTTTACTGGCTCCTTAACTCACTCCATTCTCTTTAGGTTTTGTGTCACACGTTATCTGATTTGACACATTGCTCTCTGACCTCTGCAATACCTGTCAAAACAGTGGCTCACCATAAACATCCTTTTTGCCCCTGAGCTTACATTGGACCCTTTAAGCTCACTTGAATGTCACACACTTTATATATATATATATATGTGTATGTATATGTATATGTGTGTGTATGTGTGTGTTTATAGTAATTGCTCTGTAGAGGAAGAAAATAGATAATCACTTTTGTGCTTTCTATGCCTTTTCCTTCTTATCTCTGGCATCTGGCTACATCACAACAACAATAAGGAAACAATGTCAAATTCCAGGCAGTCTTTTGCAGAGACAGTGACTGTCTTCCTTTCATGGCTGGAAGCTTTTTTTAGCAGCAGTGTTACTAAGTCAGCAGTAACTCCATGAGAAGTATGCACTAATTCAGAAGCACAATGGGAATCGGGAGTATTGGCTTTACTCAAAAAGCTACAGTTTCCAAGAACAATGCCAAATGGTATGACGTGTGAAGTTGATACTTGCCAAGATTTCCTAAAAATAAATCCCAAACCAAACAATGTGCATTATTCCCAGTTAGTTTGAACCAGCTCCTGCTCTCTTCCATCATCCTTTTCAAAGTAGGAGAGGTTAATTAGCATCTCTTAATACCTACTCCAAGGTTGGGCTTCTAATGGAAACTATCAGAAGAGAGAGAAGAGAAGATGTGCTTACTTACATTTATAAAACTAACATTCAGCTCTTTGGCGGTATATCCTCTTTGGAGGTTGCGTCGGGCATAGACATCATAGTCTCGTACAATTCTAGTAATAATATCTGATGTTGAGATACCTTCGGTTCTCTGTGTTGGTACAAACATTCCTGGTGAAAGTGGAAAACAGAGACAACAAAGATGAATGACATGAATAGGCATCACAGCAGTTAGATGGGAATGAATGTTATGGCAGGAATAGTTCTGTAGTTAAAAGGTGCCTAACTGAGCTGTGAGTGAAATTCTGAAGCTAATGGGGATTTTGCCAATGACTTCAATAGGGCCAGGATTTAATCCCGTTGTTCTGATCCTGGGTCTACCACTGATTTCCTGTATGATTTTGGAGAAGTTATTTAATTGCCTTGTGCTTCATTTTTCCTGCATGTGGAACTTCTATAATATTTTCTACAAACAGTATTATTGTGTTATTAAAATGGCTGTCTGTAGCATTTTAAGATCTTTAGATAGTAGTAGATGCTAAGGATGAGCAAATCGTTATTCTATACAGCTGTTCTCATTCCCTTGGGCTCTTTGACTTTCTTGTGCAGCAGATTCTTCATCATACCAAATGGGGAGTAGAAAGGAAATGTAGATTGCTTGTACTCTTTAACAGGAAAAGGAAGTACAACTGGGATGCTAGAACTACTTCTTGCTATCACCAGCTTATTTCCTCAAAATATTTGACTATTTTTTAACTGTTTTGCTATTAAGACCAGCCCCATGTGTATTGTTCAATAAAGCCGGAGGCAGAAGTAATAATAGTTGTAAGTGTGATTACATACATCTTGGCTGTGTCTACACTGGCATGAATTTCCGGAAATGCTTAAAACGGAATACTATTCCGTTTTCAGTTTTTCCGGAAAAGGAGCGTCTACATTGGCAGGCTGCTTTTCCGGAAAAGCCCTTTTTCCGGAAAAGCGTCTGTGGCCAATGTAGACGCGCTTTTCCGGAAAAGAGCAGCGATCGTCATTTTCGCGATCGGGGCTTTTTTCTGGAAAAGACTACTGGGCTGTCTACACTGGCCCTTTTCCGGAACAGTGTTCCGGAATAAGGACTTATGCCCGAGCGGGAGCAGAATAGTTTTTCCGGAATAGCGGCTGATTTTGTACAGTAGAGCATCGTTGCTTTTCCGGAAATTCAAGGGCCAGTGTAGACAGCTCGCAGCTTATTCCGGAAAAGCGGCTGATTTTCCGGATTCTGTACACATACCATGCAAAGATGAAACACAACTCCCAGAGCCAGTGTCTGGCTAGAAATGATTGTGTTTTTGTGTTAAGCATTCTGAGTCATCTACTTACTCTATAGACATTACCTTAGTCCATCCCATGCTTTTCAACACATTGGGCTTACCACATTCTCCATGCTTGCTTATCAGCTGCCATCTGACCTAAATCCTCCCATTTCAAATTATTTGTTTCTATGTCGTTGATACTTATATGCTTCCCATTCAACTTAGGACTATTCCTCTTTCTGGCTGGATTTCCTGGCTTCCAACTGGGCACCATAATCAGTAGTTGGCTATGATTATCATTAATAACCATACTCAGAGAGTAGTTATTAATGGTTCACAATCCTGCTGGAAAGGTATAACTAGTAGGGTTCTGCAGGGGTCTATTTTGGGACTGGCTCTGCTCAATATCTTCATCAACGATTTAGATATTGGTATAGAAAGTACGCTTATTAAGTTTGCAGATGATACCAAGCTGGGAGGGATTGTGACTGCTCTGGGTCATAATTCAAAATGATCTGGACTAATTGGAGAAATTGTCTGAGGTAAACAGGATGAAGTTTAATAAAGACAAATGTAAAGTGCTACACTTAGAAAGGAACAATCAGTTTCACATATACAGAATGGGAAGAGACTGTCTAGGAAGGAGTACGGCAGAAAGGGATCTAGGGGTTATAGTGGACCATACTATTCAGCACAAGCTGAATATGAGTCAGCAGTGTGATGCTGTTACAAAAAAAGCAAACATGATTCTGGGATGCATTAACAGGTGTGTTGTGAGCAAGAGATAAGAAGTCATTCTTCCGCTCTACTCTGCGCTGGTTAGGCCTCAGATGGAGTATTGTGTCCAGTTCTGGGCACCGCATTTCAAGAAAGATGTGGAAAAATTGGAAAGGGTCCAGAGAAGAGCAACAAGAATGATTAAAGGTCTAGAGAACATGATCTATGAAGGAAGGTGAAAGAATTGGGTTTGTTTAGTTTAGAAAAGAGAAGACTGAGGGGGGACATGATAGCCGTTTTCAGGTATCTAAAAGGGTGTCATAAGGAGGAGGGAGAAAACTTGTTCATCTTGGCCTCTGAGGATAGAACAAGAAGCAATGGGCTTAAACTGCAGCAAGGGAGGTTTAGGTTGGACATTAGGAAAAAGTTCCTAACTGTCAGGATAGTCAAACGCTGGAGTAAATTGCCCAGGGTGGTTGTGGTATCTCCATCTCTGGAGATATTTAAGAGTAGGTTAGATAAATATCTATCAGGGATGGTCTAGACAGTATTTGGTCCTGCCATGAGGGCAGGAGATTGGACTCGATGACCTCTTGAGGGTCCCTTCCAGTCCTAGTATTCTATGATTCTATGATCCATTTGTAACACTGCCCTAGCCACTGATGCCTTCTCTTACAAATTATTTGTGATAAAGACCTCGCTTTAGCCATTTTCCTGACCTCCAGCCTTTGTTTTTCTTTGATCATGGTTTATTCCTAATATTCTCCGCAAGCACTTACAATTAAACACATCTATCTTCAAAGCATCTGTTTTCTTAAACTGCCAGGTTTTACTGCTGTAGGTTGGTATAGCTGCAATGATGGCTGAGTAGATGCTTAGTTGGGTTAAAATAATGTTACTTGTCAACCTAGAATATGGGTGGTGGCTTAGATAGTTCAGTGTTGACACAACTACACAGGAAACTAGAGACTCAGTTCCTAATCACACTTTTATCTATAATATATCCATTGTGTTCTGGTTCTGTGATATTTGTACTTGGCAGGCATTCTGGTATCCTAGATTTGCCTTTTAATGACATAACCATGCAATTTTGTTCATGATGAGCATGGGCAAATTTCCTGCTGCATCACCATTTTTAGCAGGGTAGTGATCTTTTGGGTGCAGGAAATGTATATTTTTTCCAGGTATTGGTTTGTTTATGTAGTATTAATTACTTAGAGATAATTATCTGCTGGAGTCATTGTTTCTGTGATATTGACTCTGGCTTTAAAAAAGGTCAGGGCAGTGACAATCTAGGATAAATGCTTTCTGTGTATGGGCAAATATAAGTAATTTAACTGAGTGATTGAGGATACTGAATACAGCAGGCAGCATGCAGATACCTGCCATTGTTCATCTCTACCCACATCAGCTGCCATTGTCACAAATTACTGTCATTGATCCCAGGAAAGGATTGGATCCCAGGAGACAGACAAACAAAGCATAAGCAACAAGAATAAACAAGCTTTTTTGTTAGCCAGCTACTAGGTGGAAGAATGGTCATGACCTAAGTTGGCAATGAAGACTCAGGTTAGGGCAGCCACTGCATGAGTCACTGCATGAATCAGGGGAGCTCAGGTTCCACACTTTGACTTTGAAGGGGGTGCCGTCTGAATGCACTGTTGGTGCATGATTCACAGCCCAGAGTGGCATTATGCCAAGAAAATACTGTTCTCCCACCTTCAGCTATAAGAAGAGTGCCAAAGACCTGACAGAATATACAAATATTTACAAAATAAATGGGGGAGAACCTTAGGGCCTTGTCTGGCCCAGACTTAAGGATGGAAATGGAAAAGGCACCCACTTTAAGGGCCAATAGAGCATCCATGTGCAAACAAGCCAAAAAAGACTCCAGATGCAACTAGTTATTTTAATAGTTTATATAGGGCTGCAAGAAATTGCCATTCTCATTTATAAGTGAGGCACCAGCTACAGGATGACACATGCAATTGCAACATGAAACTGCAGGTGAGGATGGATGGGAAATAGTCTTGTGAAATATAGAGCTTACTACTTAATTTCTTATTGGGTTGTACGAATATTAACTAATTAATCCTCACAATGCCCTTAGAAGGCAAGTAAGCACTGTTAGCCCAGTTTCACAGGGGGTGGGGGGGGGGAATCAAGAGACAACAGCCTCTCGTGATTTAAGAATAAACACATTTTTCCTTCTCTAAATTTTAATTAACATTCTGTTAAAAATAAGACCGTTTTAATCATGACCACAGTACTTTCCCTAGCATGCTTTTTCAGAATTGCAGCAGTTGCTAAGGAAGCTATTTTAGGAAGCAGTAAAACACATCTTAGTGAAACAAGCTTTAAGCATAGGTTAGAGCTAAGAGAATACCAGCACAAAACACAGGCTTACAATTGATTTAACTTAAAATGCATTTTTAGCCAGTTTCACAAACAGACCCAGCCTGCATTATTGGTAGCAGAGCAATGCTTATGTTGCTAAAATGAAAGTGGCTCTTGAGCTATTTGCAGGCATGCTGATCTGCAGCCAGTATTCTAGCTATGTGCACACAGACTAACTTTTTGGAACTTCTCCAAACCCTCCCTCCCGTAATCTGTATTTCTCCTTTCAAGTTCCTTGTAGGTTGCTACAGAGTAGAAATTATTGTATAGTCTTAAACAAAGCTTGTGTGAACCTTCTATTGCTGTCCAACGTTTTGGTGTGAGACCAAGTGCAGAACATCCAACAGAGATCCACAGTGAAGATAAAAGTGGATATGAGAGGCAAAATCAACCCTTACTTTTCTTAAAATGGGAACTCTATGCAGGCTAGTAATTTACTGAATGGTCTTATTTGTCAAACATAAACAAGTCAAAAAATTAAGGATGGTTTGATACTATTTTCTCATCTATTGCATTTCTACAAATCATCAATTAAGGATTTTTCTGAGCCCCCTGTGTAATTGCTTTAAAACTATATAGTCCATTTCTGCTAAGGTTCTTCTCATCTATTAAATCTGGCTGTCTCCTTTTCTTCCATCCCCCTCACCTGTTTAATGCTATTCTTCTTCAGCACCAAACTTAGCCCCCTTCCTAAGGTGTTGAAGACCCAACATGCTGCAGAAAATCGGCAGGGAAGGGAGGTTAGCAGACCATTCAGAATCTGTG